CTTCAACACAACCTCAAGTCATTTGTAACTTAATATGTGAGATTGCACAGCAAGCCCTATTAGCGACGGCACCCACACTAGCAATCTCCCAGTAAAACATTTTTAGCCTAGCAAAATGTAGAAGTGTGTTCTACTGACTAACACACGTATAACCAACCAAAACAAAAGAAACAAGTAAACAAGGAAAATTTCTGGAAATGATCTGGTTCTGGTTCCGCAATTCTTCAATTAGTGTGTATAGTAGTGTGAACTACGCATATTGAGTTACAAATGACTCGACGATAGCCATTTTTCATTCTCCAACTCTCATTTGTCCCCAATACTGAGTTGTTCTAAGATAATATTTGATTTTTTATCACTTATGTACGGTCAACACATCTTCACAAATTGACAAATTTTTTTCTAAATTCGATGTCTCTTACTACTTTGAGTATCTACCTTGGCACATCGCACTAGTGTGTTAGCTACTTCCTCATCGACAATCGTGTAATATCAGCATGAATCACTATCAAAAGGTTTCCGTTTTCTTTCCTTGTTGTTCTAGAGAGAAATTATTGGAAAAAAATAAAAGATTGGGAGTTATTGCAATCCACTTAATGTTTGAAGATTATATCTCAATTCAACAACCCATCCTCCATCTCCAACATGAAAAATTGAACCTTAGCCACTGCTTTACTACAGAGGAAGTGACAACGTTTTGATCCTTTTTCTCAGACAGAGTGTTCTTCAAATGTCTAAGTTTTCTCTCTGGCAAGTAAAGAAGATTCAAAACGAATTGTTTGTTCTAGTTATGTGATATAGTTTTATCTCAAATACTTTAGCCTTTAAAACGTAAAATTTTACCTCAATGTAGTCTAGATGGGTTTTTTGCTAATATTTGCTATTACACATTCCCTACCAAATTGTGTAGAAAGCTTGGTCGCATTTATTGTCCTAGTTTTGTCTCAATAATGTATTTGCCAAACTTTTCGTATGCTTTTGTGAGCTCCAAATGTGCCCTAAAATTTCATTTGAACATATTCAAACATAACTAATTCAAAAAAGTTTTTAGTAATCGAAAAATTCGAGAAACGAAAAATCCTTTTTCGATATCTTCTTCCTCTTCAGATTCATCTATCAATAAAATCTCAAACTTGAGAACAAACAAACCATAGATCAAATGCTTATGTAGAGGGTGTTGCTATTTATGCATATTCCCTTCCTTTCACCGATTTAATGTCTCGTTCTTGAAATTGGGAAAAGAAAGATGTTGACCCTCATTTTTGGATTTTTAGCAGTGTGACCCATTGGTTTCTATGATTGTAATCACAGATCAGCTCTTCTACCATTTCCTATATTGACCCTCTGCCGTCATCTCTCACGATAGCTTTTCTTTTGGATACCTATTGTCGACATCAAAGAAGTGCGGAAAAAGGGAACCCCTTTTAAAACTGCAAATCAATTCTCAAGGCTATTTAGCATTTCTGAGCAGCCTATGCAAGCCAAGGCATTCTTTTCATAAACATGGAAAAATTTTGAGCTCTTCCTAACATTCTGACCCATTTAAAAAACGATGGGTACACTTGTCGAGAATGGATTATATGTACTAGGCTGTTGCATAAGTTCTGTCCGATTTGAATTTTTGAGTTTAAAATGTCATAACTTCTTTCAGAGTCAACTTTTTTCCAAGGTCTTAGTTTCTATGTGTTGAGCAGTCCCTTGGCTAAAAAATGCATATTGAGATCTGCGCAAATCTTTGTTAAGGAAGAACCAAGAATGCAAAAACTTCGCAGCGTTTTTCTGCGAATCTGTCTTTTTTGACATGGTAACGCTCCCTTATGAAAATTGATAGGCATCTTTTCTAATAATGGATGGATAGAGAAATTTTCGTAGATTATTATGCAACATAAAAGAGCCCATAGGGTTTGCGCTGCCGAGAGATTTTCTTGACCGAACAAAAAATTAGCCACTTTTTGACCTCGCTTCAGCACATGTGTGCATGCCTATTTATGAACTACGAACGTTTTACAACTGACGTGAGCGCCGAAAAGGAATTGGTGGATGGGCCCTGTTAGCTCTTGCTTTGCCCTAGCACCTCCAACTTTGAGCTTGTCGATTACTTCTATTCGCAGAAAGTTATTGCTTGTAAAACATCTATACCAAAGATTTATGTTCGAGGATAAATTTCACTAGCAAGACGTATTCTTCATGGGACCGAACTTCTGCATATACTAGCATTCCATACCCTTATTCCGAAGCCAATGAAAGAACCTGACTTGAAGGGCGCATTGTGGAGATATCCTCGCAAGGACATATTTCTAGGGATAGAACGTACCTCGGCCACTTAGAGATTTTAGGTCTGTGATCTCCGTACACTAAGAATTTTATTGAATTCTGGTATGCTTTAGAAAGCGCAAGGAAAGCACTTTTCAATGATACCAACCGTATCGAATTAGAGATGAAATTCTCTTAGAACAGCTGCTTCAAACATGAGGCAAAAAAATCGGACAGAACTTATGCAACAGCCTAGTACATCGCCTCAGTTTTCCAAAATGAATGCTTAATTTTACCATTTTCCACAGTCCAGGAATATGAAGCGAGGAATATGACAGAGCAGATTGAAATTTTTCAAACACAAGCACCTTCAACCAAGAATCGCGCGAAATAATATAAAGTCGAATTGAAAATTGCGAAGCTTATCATGCTCGCCATGAGCATGGGATATAAAACCTTTGAGAGATTTGGTGCATGACATGTAATCACTCTCGGTACAACATATTTATGCTTTGAAAGTGAGAATTGCAGAAAAAATCCGAAATAATAATATCGGGCCTCATGGCCAAATACAAGAATGTGCATTCGCACACATTAGCCAGAAATCTTCATCTTTTGTGTGTTCTTTCGTCATTTGTTCATGAATTGATGTTTTCAAAATCAGAGAAAATTTGTTGAAAGATGTACGTTTTCTAGTTCCTCATGTAAGCCGACAGCTCTTCTAATCTCAGACATCGCCTCTAAGCTAGTCTGTTTGAACGCAGTAGAAGTGACGCGGCTGATTCGATCATGCAAACATCTTGATGTCATATCTTCTTACCGCAAATTGATTTTTAAACCTTCATGCTTCACATTTAAGGAAGCCTGGATGATCCTACAATCGGGATTAGCTCTCAAAGTGATGTAGAACTTCAGAAATTCAGTATAAAACCCTGCAAGAAGAGTTTCTAGCTGCTCTTTGCAATCTGTAGATTTGAACTTTGCTAGATGTTCTTATGCAAGTTCTTTATCCAGTCAAATGTTGCCAGCTAAGATCTTGCCCTTAGGATTAATTATGACGTCGAGATGTGTAAGTTCATCTAACTGTAAGAACTATGTAAAGACTATATTCTACCAAAAAAAAAATGAAACTCTTTCCCTCATTCAGTCTGTCCAAGGATTCTATATTCATTCATTCGTGTCTATTTCATTTGTTTATAATTCATTCGTCTATTGTGCAAGTCTAGCTTTTTATTTACATTATTTATTCACGATTTTCTTGATTCAATTTCTCAACTCATTTATTTTTTGTTCCATTTTCATTTACTCGATTCTATCGTATTGAAAACTCAAACACTCATCGATTACTATTTTTTGTACCATTTTCATCTACTCGATTCTATCGTTTTGAAAATTCAAACACTCATCGATTATTCTAACTATTACTCTAAGTGGAATTTTTTTGGCTGCTCATTTCCTAGGATTTTTTGCTAAGTTTCAGCCACCGCCGCTGTTTCGTTTCCTTCTTGTTTTCCAGTGGTGGCTTCAGAATTCACAGTAATCAAAGCAAGGTATTTGCTTGAATTATAATTTTGCGTCCCCTATTACCAAGAAAATCTCATAGATTGACCAGACATCAATCTAAATCATATCAAACATCAAGTATTCGCTGTGTTCATCCATAATTCCCCGCAGAATCGAAAATACTGAAGCTTGATTTGTATGACGTCGGAATTGTTTCTTTGAACTATAATATCTAATAGTCAAGTTCTAAGCAGGTGATAACTAGATTGTTGTTCTCGAGATTGCGATTAGTTTCACTTTTACTAAGTCGGCGAACGTCTGATGCACATTTACAGGATACCTGTAGTCATCTAACTCTTATCATGGTAATTTATCTGCTAAAATTGAAATATAAATGCCCGTAGAACATTTCTGTGCTCCTTGCCGAAAATCGTATATTCTCAGCTTGTCAAAATAATCTGCAATTGAAATATTGAAATAATTTTGCAAAAAAAAAGTGTGGTCAGTAATCTGACAATATGATCGCTATCTAGCTTTGAAGAAAATGGAACATAAGTATATCACATGGTATCCTTTTTCAAAGCTTTGGCATGTCTTTGAAAACCTTGGATTTTTCTAATGCTTGAGGTTATTAAATCATTTCCAAAGCAACTTGACGGCGCAGAAATTTAAAATGGAGCCTTTGAATTGAATTTCTCAAAACAAAGGCCTTCTTGGATTGTAAAGTGTTGACAGTATACAGAATCACTTCTTCAGCTACAGCTGACCTGAGCGAGACTACCCATTATTCTATTTTTTATTTTCCTATGGCTGTTTACTATCTTATTTTTTATAATTTCGAAAAGTTGTAAAGCGTGCTCCGGAGTTTGAGATATGAATCTCAGAATCATCTTTAAGTTTTCAAAAATAACGAACAGTAAATCGCTTAGAAATTCTTGTAACGATGCTGGATTAATGTTGAAAATATAGTAACTGGAAAACTTGCAACTTTGACTTCAGAAGAACCTGGAAAAACCATGAGATTCTTGTTCCCTGCAATCATGGGAGAACTTGCAAGCATAGCATATACCAATTTTATAGTTTTTGAACAATAATTTGTAAAGTCAACTTGCTTATTATTCCCTCAATGTCACCATTTTCTAAGCAATTATCTACTGTCTACAAACTCTGATTGCTAGCTTCGCACCATGCCTAGCATTTCCCTGAAAGAAAATTTGTATTCTCAACTCATGTACAATTTTCAGAACTAATGAGCCACGCCGCCTTTCTCACAAGTGTCACCGAACGAAAAAATCGTACCCAAATGGATTTCCACAATATGCCCGCGGTGAGTTCCTTCTTTTCATCATTTTTCGTTACACTTGGGATTATAATTGAATTGCGCGCATATCGAAGAAGGAAATTGAAATTGAACACGGAATTGAATGCGGCAAAGCTTTCGCTTCCATGTGGAATGTTTTTTGTTGCGACAGCGACATTGAGCAGTGGTGTGCTCGGCTGCACTTGGTGTTTTTGAGCCGAGTAGTTGATTGATTTCGAAGTGGAGTTCTCATAAATATTTCACCATAGACAACTCACTCCGCTATTGCCGCTCATTTCGAATAAAATGGTTACCGGAGCGCACAAAATGTGTCTGTCACTCTCGAAGTCTCCTTTCCTCTTTCTTGCGTGAATACTCAAAATAAAAATGAATCTAATTTATAGAATTTTCCTTCTGAAAGTTCTTTTTTTACCCACTGTTTTGCCAAGCTCTCATCTAGTGGATGTAAGGAAAGACAAATCCTAAGTTGAAATTAGCTCAAAACCACGAAATTTTCAAAGTGGCGCCCCCCCCCCCGCTCCATTTATTTCACTACCGTCAACCCACGTAGGCTTTCCCAAGAGAAACAAGGCAAAATGTTTAGCATGTAAGCTGTATATAGCAATTAATAGCAAATTCGTGGTTTTTAACCCATTGACGACGACGCCTAATTATGCGTGGCGGCGCTGTGGGACGACGTGATTTTGCACAACACTTTCGGCGTGGGAAGGTTTTGTGCTTGTATGCAGAATGCAAGGTTGTTTTGCGGACCACAATGAACTTTTCTTTTGAAAGAAGGAGCCTACAGGTCCTAAGAAAGCAAAGTTGGAAAAAATATTAATCTATGGTTGGGACGTTAGATCTACAAAAGATATGTTCCAAAGCCTTTGGGTATGTGAAGCCTTTTTGCACCTATACAGTATATCACGTAAATCTAGAATGTTTTTTTACAGCGATGTGGTCTTTCAGCGTTTTCGTTCAAAGGTAGTCTGAGCATGACATGCAAGGAGAAAATTGTGGTTTGGCCTTGCTTTACAGCGACTGCGGGGTTACGGTAGCATACTGTAGCTGTGCAAAATGGTCGCCTGCTCTTTTTATCGCTATTTCAAGCCTGGCTTCGCTCTTGCACATGCAAACACATAATTTCATATTCTCATATTTCGAGAGACAAAAAAAGTGAAGCCAAAATTAGCAATTTTGCTTAAATCGCTGCAAATTTAGCGAAGCTATGGAAATTATGATGCACAACGGAAGGAAGGACTTGCAACTAATGAGCATACTTATCTTTACTTCGCCTGGGGCAATATTTCAGATCGCCGCCTTCACCCCCGCCTTCTGCGTGCACTTCCTTGCTCAGGATGATTCCAGAAACTAATTTTGAGTCGTTTGAAATTTTCTAGTGTCGTATAATCTGTATAGATGATGTCATTTTGTGCTTGCAGATTTAACAAGCCATTCAGGACCCTTATTGTCTTTCTAGTACTATGTAAGTATGACTAATTAGCACAATTGTTAGTCCTTCTTCTCCTCCCCCCCCCCTAACTAAACCATATTTTTGAATTTATTAAATGTTCATTAGAATAGTAATCTTCAATCAGCTCCCTACATGGTCTGAGCACAAATCCCTGATTCAAAGTAACTCCCAATACTTTCTGACTATGTTTGCGTTTCCTGGCCAGTGCGAACATCACGAAAAATTTCTCTATTATGCTCAAAGTGCCGCGCTCGGCAATGCAGCACAAAGAAGTACCCTATGTATATAAAGAAGTTTTTCTATTCAAGCACATACTGGAATAAGATGCCCTTCCTATTGATGAAACTCTCGAGTTTCTCTCAAGTGAGCTCTTCTCTTTAGCTACATGCAGCTCCCTCTATGGCCTAAGCACACATTTTTCCTGATTCACATAATTTCAATTTTACGAACTGTGGATGAACTTTGAAAAATTTTAAGAAATGTTTTGTGCAAATCACCTTGAGTGGAAAGCAAAAGCGCAGTTTTTGCACAACAAAATTGTGCATTTCAGTAACAATTATTTTGTCTTCTAGTAGAATTTTCTTACCTCTATGATCAAGAAAGCTGCTAGTTTCGATGTGGAAGCTCATTCTAGTCAGAAGATTTTAAAATCTCGTTAAATCAGGGATTTCGCTAAAAAAGAAAATGTCACCAAAGTGTCTATTTGTAAATCAGTTTAGGACATTATTCACTGACAAGCATAATTTTCAAACTGCACCTTCAGTTTAAATTTACTGGCATATGTAGTGCTGTTGAAGAATGACGTTCACTTACGTTTATGCCAAAATCTCATTATCTATCAAATAACACCTGCAAATCAACTTGCTTTGCGTAGTTAGAGGTCCTCGTGTGACGTGGTTATTAAGTTCAGCATTTTCGTTATCATTTCTCCAGGGGGGGGGGAGTATTTGCACTGCTAAACGACCTTTAATCTAAAATTGCCAATTACAAGCAAACTAGCGAAGAGCATGAAAATCCACACAGACGGATGAAGTTTACGTATTAAGGATGGAGAAGGGAGGGAAAGGGAGTCTTTTTTAACGGACATCTATGTAAGGGTGTTATAATTTTTACTTAAAACACCTGATATTTCAATATTCATGCAAAATCGTGAAACTTCCTGGCCTGAATACACAAAACTTTTTTCCCAGTTGACGTAAAAACGTTTTTTCTTATGATTGCCAGCAAAGACAGGTGGTCCTTATGCACCACTATAGTATGCCATAAAACTTGTGACGTACTTTATGACTTCTTAAATCAAAAATTATCTCCCTTTTCAAGATTTCTCCACCTGAAAGTGCCAAAAACGTTTGAATTGGGTCTCTTGGACGCTGAGCAATGTTACGGTAGTATACGGTATATGAGTGCAAAACACACATTTTTCGTCAAAGTTATCAATCCTTTTCATGTTTTCTGCGCTTTTGCTTAATAATACACCTTATCTGCTCGCGGACAAACTTTTAATCCTTCGGAGTTCGCTATATTATTAATAACGAGGTAGCTTGCAGAATGCTTAAAGCTACAATTTGCTGGAAAGGCAGTTTTTGTAGATTTTTTCGAACATCCATCATTGTCAAAGAGATGTAATGTCATACGCCGGTCTCATGAGGCATGACATTAGCAAGAAAAACAAAATGGAAGCTTGCAGGGTTTTAGCCGGCCACAATTTTTCATGCCCGATAGTCATTTGAAGCAGATTCATATTTCGTTGAGTATCGAGTAGCTCCTCCTTGAGATTTAAGGCATTTTGTCACCAAGTCTTGCAATTTTTTCTCGACTGCACTGCGCTTTTCTCTTGATCGAATCATGTAAAATCCAATATGTGAATTTGCACACTGCACACAGCATCGCACGTCCCATAAACTTAGAACTCAAATACTTTAGTGGAGAAAATAAAGAAGCTTACTTATTTTCGTCTGCATACTATCGATGCTTGAAAAAAAGAGAAAAAAACAAAATTTCGAAGGAATTGGCAGCCTGTAAGCATATCAAGTCGTGAAATTCCGCTTCTGGTGTGCAGTATACACAACTAGTCAGATAGGCGTCTCTGCTGTGTATTCCAATAAGAATGTAAATCTAAACATAAAAATTAGGTCACTGTTGATTTCTATCCATATTTCGGCCTTTTTGGCAAGATGGCCTTTTTGCACAACAGTAACTTCTCAGAAAACCGTAGTGTGTCGCGCGCGGCGGTGGTCCTAAACGGAAGTGCTCTCGCAGCGCTACGGTTGTGAGAACCGGGCTCAACCCCCCTCCCCCTTGGCTTCTTTAATCTCAGTCTCATGTTAAGCTGTTTCTTCATGCTGTATTTTTGTTTTTTTTTTCTCGGAAAAGAACTGGGAGAAGCGCAAAAAAGGCAGAGTATTTGTTCATTAAAACCGTGATTTGAGAAAATACTGGGGGGGGGGGAGCAAAGAAGCGCAGACGATTTATTTATTGAAAGCATGGTTTGACTTCATTTTTTTTGTCCACGTTCAAACATCAACGACAATCATGTCTTTGCACAAGTACAGTTTTTCCATCATATCCAGTTCTTGCAAATCGTCATCACAGACAATTGAGATATTTTTTACAGGCTTAAAATCCAATTTGTTTACAGAAAATCTCTTCAAAGCGAATTCAGCCCACTCAATTAACAAGAGTAATGGCTCCCAAAGGGATCGCCTATCTCTCCAGTAGCAGCGTGAGCTTACAATAAACAGGAAACAAAAAGTGGCTCAGCCTCCCTCTCCAACCTCTTCAAAATGGCTTACTCACCACATCTTTAGCTTTTTGGCTCCATCTTAACATTTCTGCTTCTTAACTCTCTTTTCCTGAACAAAGCGAGCTTTGTAGAGTTCTTAGACATTTGATCGCTAGGCGGAAATGCAAATTTTGAGGTTTGGTCCTGACTTTTTGTTCTCTTTCTTAATCTTGTAAGATAATCCGAAAATTCTAAAAAAAAGTCTGTCTTGGATTACAAAGTAATCTTGGCGTGATTAAATGCACAAACAGCGGTCACATGAAATTCGTCCTTGAAAGCATCAAGTAATTTTTACTTAGAGAATATTTAACTTTCTCATAAGAGTGCTACAAACTTGTCAAAAACGCTGAGAGTTACTGTTAAGAAGTTCGAAATTCTTCAAACTCAATTTATTGATTTCATTTTGTAACTTTTGAGCATATCTGTGCAATACAGTGCCTAGCATGTCGTTTAAAGCAAGTTAAATATGCTTTTCTGATTCAGCACATCCTATAGCTTTTCGTACGTATCAACATCCTTCATAAGGTATATAAAATTAGCACACAAACTTTCTATCGAGTTTTCTATCAGAATAGATCTGCGAACATATTATCATGCCGGCGCACGATTTGCTCTCATCAAAGTACTCATAAGAGACTGCGATATTAAACAAAATGATGCAAGACCTTACCCGACAATGCTAGTGGGTTCGGTCACTTGTGATCTTTACTGAAAAGAGCTTCATACGTAGTTTTAACTATAAAAATTGCTTATACAACTGAATTATCTCTATAACTACCGAATTTGACGTTCGCTTCTCGCGCAAAAGTAGACTGCTTCTTTCTTATTCTTACATGAAAATTTGTCCTAACTCATTGAAAAGGGTAGAGTACTTTCAAATAAAATCATTAATTTTTCAGATGCACGATTCGGATGTGCAATTGTCGGTGTTCAATGTGGTGTCAGCCTGTATTGTCGCCTTGTTATTAACTGCCGTCATCATCATCCTCGTAGTTGCTTACATTCGAGCAAAATCGAGAGGGGCCACCAAGGTAAGGCTACCTAAATTTCCCTAAATTATCGAAATACTGGCGTTATTATTGAAATGTCCTGGGTTGGTGCCTCTGGGAAGCAAACTATCTTTTGACTTTACAAAACATTACAACATCTCTTTTGGGAGTGAAATATCCCCAACTAGGCTTAATAGCACAAGCTGGGAAGGATGTCCTAAAGAGTCGAAGGAGCAATTGTCAAATTCTCCCTGATTTCCACTTGAAACAAGTTTAGCTCTTCAGAACCAGATTTTTGTTGGCAGGCCTCGAAACCTGCGCAATTTCCCTTCTCCTTCCCGAAACGGTTCCCAAAATGACATCTGTCAAGTTCGTACCGGGCCCTAAGTGAAAATAGAGTAAATTTTTGCGCTAAACATAATAGTCAGTTGGTTATGGCAAGCTTTGATTTTCATTGCAAACTGAGTGTGAACAACTAGCTACAAACAGTTGTGAGGTATACATCATGTCAACTACAATTCTTCAAGACACCTTTTTGCATTGTAAAACTTACTCATGCGAGATATGAGCGTGGGCTGAGGTGAAAAGATATTGTTCTACGGTTACAAAATTACAAGCGTTGCTTTCTATGCGTAAATTTCCAAACTTCTTTTTGTTAAATAAGTGCTATCCATTATAACTATTTGGAATTTCCGACCCATAAAGCTCTTTTCAATTACTGGAAGTTCGCGAGCCTAGAAATTAAATTCTCTGTCCAAGGCTGCGTCTAGAGTAACCCGTGCCAGTGCCGTGCCAGCGATGTTCCAGCCTCATGCTAGCGCAGTGAAGAGTGTCGGTCGATTGCTACGAGCAGCATTAGGCGTAGGTTCTGTTACAGCGCTGACACAGCTTTGGCACGGTGCTGGCACGGCGCTGGGACGGTCTGGTACGCCTTTGGCAGTGGTAAGAGTGTTCTATGTTTTAATTCAGAGATAGGCAGAGGTTTAGCAAAAATCATTTTGAGAATATATTTCAAAAAAGGCTTTTTGTGTGGCCATCCAACACCTTGTACTGACTTGAAATATAATACTTTGAGCTGGGCATGTTCGACTTTCCAGAAATTGTCATATGACAAGCTCCGCTTTTTCCCTTGATTCTCATGTATAGCGAATTGCTTTCGCATGACGTTTTCAGTACGGACGACGGAAATTCACTTAAAGAGCGTTTGGTCCGGTGACAAGTATTGCAATGGAGTATTTCGTTTACAAAAACTCTATTGCAAATTGCAAATCTCTTACATGACATCATGTTTTTCCCACAGCTTAGTGCTTCGGCTTCGAATTGTGGGAATCTTTCGGCATTATGGAAACCTTGAGCTGTGAGAAATTCTATAATGGGATGTTACGACGTCAATACGTACAATCTTATGTTCCCCTTCTTTTGTCAGAAACAGTTTCAAAACATTAAATGTGATGAGTTCAACTGCTACTTACCTCAAATGAAAACAAAAAGGACTGCAAAACTTTTTCACTTTTACATTGAGAAGTGTATAAAGATTTTTTTATGAAATTCCTCTTGTTATCCACAGCTTAATTCACGAATTTTACACCTTTTTTTCTCTCTAAAATTTTATTTTCAGAGCACTGTCAGCTCCAGCGTCACGGTGGAATCGTATCTCGAATCGATGGCGATAAATAACAATAACAACATCAGCAGTAGCAGTAGCACCTATTTTACAAATCCACTTTATGCATGCACGAACAATCAAAATCATTATGATTCTATAGTTTCCGTCTGAGTCGTAGATAGTGTTAGGTAAATGAGGCAATCACTCACTCCTTTGTGGTAGATTATTCACAGCTCACCTTACTTTCATTGTATTTTACATCAGGTTTCCTCTCACCTTTGACTCCGCTTTACATTAATTTTTATTTATTACGGGTATATTTGTACAGGTCCCGTGTAATTTTGCTTTATGGAATAAATTTAACTTTTATTGAAGTGTATTCAATTTACATAAAAATGCAATGGTTAATGTAAATCTCAAACACTTCGCTCTTATTAAAGAGGTCGTCCATTTCTCTCAAAGAGACTCAGCTGACATGAGCACTCAGCTAAAAAATCATATTGTATTTGGCTTTTCAAAACACAAATAAAGTGCACAGGAAAGGTTATAGGTAGATTTCAATTCTTCTCTTAACCAAAAGGTCGTTGACTATCAGGTGTACAACAAATAGTCTAATCCAGTTCAGTTACAAATCCATATGCAGCAGACCGGGCTACCTAACCTTTTGTCGCAGGACAAAAATGACTTCTTTCTAATTGCTTGACCCGGACCAAGATTGATAACAACTTCTATTCGGCAACTTTTCGCTTGTTCGCTTTCGTCGGAACCTAGAAGTGAGGAGCATTTGAGAGTTGTCTTCCGAAACGCTCTATCATGGCAGATTAAGCAAGAAGCTAAACAAACCGTATAACATTGCGGAAACGGAACACCTCACCTTTATAAGCTGCGCTAGGGATGGGATAATGAGCCTCAGCCTATGCGGACATAGGTCAGAACCGACATAGCTCCAGAAATGGCGCGAGCTTATTTGGGATGGCTCTGCATTCCCCTATTCTGTTCATCTGAGGATTTCTATTCTAGCCGAAATCCAGCACGCTCCCAAGTTCGCACAACCACTCCGGGTTTTTTTACAGAATTGAGACACAGATCTCGAGTTCTGCAATTTGATGGCGCAACTCTCGATGCGGGCCCAGAGAAGTAGGTAACCTGCCTTTGCTCAGTCCATCCGAGAGTTCCTTAATTTCTACGCACAGCTGTTTGCCGGTTTCGTCAAAATATTCGTCGCCACATAACTTGCAGGTTATAAGATACTAGTTAGGGTACCCAGCATCGTACGACACACGAGAAGTCTTCACCATTACTCTACCTTAATGTCCTATCCTTGTCATTTTAACAATGGCAACTTTGTCCTCGTGGTGTTCTCATAATCAGCATCCCCACTTACCACCTGCACTCACTCCCAGACCCGTTCACCGATCTACAAGAAAAAGTACCTCCGACATCCGCACAAAGTGTGTGTGCACAAGGTTTAGTTCTAATACGTTCAATAAAATGGAATTTTCTATCTTCAACATTTGCACACAGGCAGACGAACGAAATGCAAACAGGCGTTCGGACTTAGGTGCCACGAGCTGGCATCCCAGGTTGCACCAAGGTTTGGAGTCAATCCATCCTTGACCTCCCAGATAGCGAAACTTATCCTTTTTTTTTTGATTGGTGCTGGTCTTGGGTTCGCTTCCTACCGTGCTTATCTTGTCTTGATGACTAGCTATCAAATTGCGCTTTACCGCTCCTTCATGTATGTGCACAGACATACAGATTTTCTGATTTCTGTATAGAGATATTAATCCAGAGCATATGAAATCCCCTGGCTTGTTAGATGGGCAGAATACGCAGCCTTGCTTGTAGGTTTAGTCCTGTGCTGCTAAAAAATGACTTCATTTGAGAATTTTACTCCCTTTAAAGAATGATAAAGTATTAGGTCGTTTCATAAGTTCGTAGACTTTTTATTTTTGTCGCCGTTTTTCGATGAACCGGTTCGTTTACGGCAAAGTACCTATACTATTGAAAAGAGAAAATCTTGCTCTACAAGAACTGTTGTTCGTTTTTGGAGCAAACTTGAATCCCCTTCTTTTACGACTTATCAAAGCAAAATTTTTTGAGAGGCAAAAATTGGCTATTGCGGCAACTGCACTTTCCGCATTTGGTCCGTATTCCGCAAGATGTTTCTGTCATAGGTAGGCGGGATGGATAGTAGCAAGCAAGACTGAAACACTGACAAATTTGCAGCATGCCAATATGCATAGAACCGTTTGAACAAGGTCCCAATGGTTTTGTTGTCTTTAACTGCTGCCGCTTGAGTTTGGCGCGTTGTTCAGCGACACAATGTGTCGGTCCTCCTATTGGAACTTGAGGAATGGATGCGTTCTTTCAACTGTAGATGTATGAGTACAAGCTCTGACCAACATTTTACGCTTTCTCAAGAAAATTTTTTGACGTGGGAACTTTTTAAAATTGTGCCAAACGCAAAACATCTACACACATGGTAAACGTGCGCTTAATCTTTCTTTATAGCCTCTCTTTGGATATGGAGACTACTTTTATATGCACCGTAGTACCACAAACAGTTGTTTCTCATCACTCATAACAACTTCAGACGAAAAATTCCCACTTGTGGCTCCGTATACGGATCGAAAGTTGCAGTTGCCGCAATCGCCAATTTTTGCCTCTCAAAAAATTTTGCTTTGATAAGTCGTAAAAGAAGGGGATTCAAGTTTGCTCCAAAAACGAACAACAGTTCTTGTAGAGCAAGATTTTCTCTTTTCAATGGTATATGCACTTTGCCGTAAACTAACCGCTTCATCGAAAAACGGCGACAAAAATAAAAAGTCTACGAACTTATGAAACGACCTAATATATTAGGTTGGTGCAAAAGTTCTTTCCGCCCAAATTCAAAAATTCATAACTTATTGAATTCTCAACGAAACCGCAAGATCTAAATTTTGCTCAAAAGAGAAACTCATGCTCTTTGCATCTGTACCTGAACTGTTCGTTAAAGTTTACAATTTAAGGAGATAGAAGTTCAAAACTAAAATCACTCAAAATTTGAATTTTTCGTGTAGGGTCATAAAAAATCGGAAATCTGCAGCAAAAATCGGAGCAGCCAGGATTGTAGGTTCTTTCACCAGCTCTTTCTAACGGTGCAAAGTTTGCGCTGATTGAGCGTTTCTATAAAAAGTTATGATTTCCCTGAAAAATGCCAAAATAAATCAAATTCGCCCTTTTGTATTGCTTGCTCGAAATTCATAACTTCTCATAGAGGCGCTCAATCAGCGCAAACTTTGCACCGTTACAAAGAGCTGGTGAAAGAACCTACAATACTGACTGCTCCGACTTTTGTTGCAGGTTTCCGATTTTTTATGACCCTACACGAAAAATTCAAATTTTGAGTGATTTTAGTTTTGAGCTTCTATCTCCTTAAGTTGTAAACTTTAACGAACAGTTCAAGTATACTTGCAAAGAGCATGAGTTTCTCTTTTGAGCAAAATTTAGATCTTGCGGTTTCGTTGAGAATTCAATAAGTTATGAATTTTTGAATTTGGGCGGAAAGAACTTTTGCACCAACCTAATATATTAGGATGAACGGTAAAAAATGAGACAGCTTGATTTTTATTACATTTTAAGATTTTTTGTCCTCACCAATAACAAGAAGGCTGCAACTCAAACGTCGCTTACATAACCGACCTTGGCCTATTATTCTGGCAACGCGTTACCGCTCCTCTCTCATAACCGTACGCGTGGCGTCGTGAAGAACTCCGACAGGGTTCTTTGAACAACTCTCAATCTTGCACTGCTATACCGTAAAGTCGTAAAGCAAGTGACAAACCACTCGAAAGAGCTTTTCATGCTCTTTTGAACGATATGTTAAATGCCTAAGATTTCTTTTCAATTTCAGGAAAAATTGCGAAAAAACCTGAAAAATGGCTATTTTTGGCGCAATAAAAAACCAAAAAATCATGTTTTGCCCTATATTTTCCGAAAATAGATAGAATCTGAGGCAAGCTTCACATGGATGGATAGAGCGTAAAAAGCACTATCAGATGATACCTAGAAAACATTCGTTCACTGGAGGGAATTGAAAAACGCGTATCTTCGTTCTCGAAGCTGCTAATGGCCATATCTCCTGACTTTGGAAGTTGAGGCCACCAAGCCGTCGTGGGTTTGATGACTGTCCCACCACCCACACCAGCAGTGGTACTTTGGGTGGTCTCATATGTTTCACTGCGCAGATACTGCTCAAGTTCATAATTTGTCGAAATTAACTTTGCATTTCAGCAATAAAAATTATTAATTATGTAAATGACCTTATATAGGTATTATCTGGAAGAGAATAACATATTCTTTTATCTTTCAAAACTGAAATGTCTAATCACTTCTCTTTCTTGAGAAACCTCCAGTTATTTCGTAAGTGTCCCATTTTTTACCGTTCACCCTAATAGGAGTTTGACCAGATCTTTTCCAAAAACTGAAGGAACTACAACAAAAACGTTTCTAGAACTGCAAACAAAAACTTGTAGTATGTGACTGAAAGTGCCGATGCCAACTTGAAAATCTATCTCCTTAAACAAGGCTGAATCAACTATCACAAAGAGGGAAAACTATAGCCTTAACATCAGCATTTGGAATCATTCGCAATTCAAAAACGTAGATATCGTAGATAAGTCTTTAAGGATGGGTTCATACTAATTCCCAATTTCAGGAACTGTTCCCGCACAGTTCCCGCACTGTGCTGAAATTGTGCTGCAGCGCATGCAGCACAGCTGAAAGTTCAAGCACAACGGAACTGGAACTGTGCTGGAACAGTCTCGGAACATGGGAATCACTATGAACCCAGCCTGAAAGCAGTTCAAAAAATTCAAGAATGACCTTGTGATACAATGCCTCTAAACACACGCACCATCACCGTTTCTTTATGTTTTCTAAACTGAGATACTACTCTAACGGCTTGCACAAAAATGAAGCATGAGCAGAAACTTCAAAGTTATTGTTACGTTATCCTTGAATATCGAGCATATTGTAAATACTTAAGAATAGAGCTGAAAATCCGGAGACTTTGTTCAAAAAAGTTTCTAGGAAAACTGTGAAGCTCGTACTAGCAGAAGCGAAACCATTTTTTGTACGACAACTGAGCAGAGCTAAAAATTTCTTGACGCAATCGTAGATATTTACAACTTGCATTCGAAAACTCACGGTCAGCTTCCTCTACCCAGAAAACTGACATTGAAGCATAAAAATGCCCAAAATTTTCTTGGGCGAAAACATGCATTGTTTTTTTTTGTTACTGGCAGTCTGCACCTGCAATGTTGATAACGAATTTTTCTCATAGTGCTCCGAGCAGCGAGACGGTCGAATGGCGCGTATTGCTTGATTGTCACTAGTCAGAAAAATAGATAAAAAGTTCGAAATTGGTTCGGTACTTCCGGGATTCAACTAGTTATCCTCTATTACTATTTCTCATATGATGACAAAACTTTAGGAGTTTGGAAACCTTGCTTTTGTAGAGTACAAATCCCTCCTGGCAATGACGACTGCCGAAACGCGCGCTTTTCGACATACACCCCTCCGTCAAGCCTACTTGAGTCCTAAGCAGGCTTTTGCATGGCACCACAGGTTCAAGCTCGTTATCGTTTTCCAAGAAAAAAGAGACGGGTATCACTTTTATCGGACCCGGAGCAGAGCCTCGAAAAAATTGTAAAGATACGCATCGGGATCACCTAATTGTAAATCGCGCCTACTGACATCTTTATCGGTTTGCAAACAAGTAAAGACAGAGCCACCATGTTGTTAATTATGGCTTCTAAGGCAGTGTCCGGACAAAGTGGGGGTTTTGGGATTTCAGTGTCGTGCGAAAGTACCCCCCCCCCCCCTAAGACACAGCATTGCGCACGTACAAGGTTACAACGTCCAACCTGAAACAAGACGACCGGAAAGTGGGAAAACTTACGCCTTGGGGCGGGGTCCTCCGACTTGTTTGAATTCCTGCTATGCAGCAGAGTACGCATGCCGCCATAATTGAAGTCGTATCCCGCACGACTCTGAGTCTCAGCCTTGGAGGGTACCGTCGAATTTTAAATTGTAAGGTTTTGAAAACGCATGTTCTCGCCGTTTTCGCGTCTTCTAATGTGGATCTTCGGACTCAGCGTTGGGGATAACCCTCATAAGTGGATTCTCTAAACATCGAGTTTTTGCCCGGACACCGCCTTTAGCACAATCTTGCTCACGCAAAATAACCACACAAAAATGCTTTTTTGCAAAGGACAACCAAAACAACCAATGATATGACATAATATGCACATATTCTACGACTTCGAATTAACATGAGGAATTCCAATTAAAAGTCACGTCAAAATTTTTCACTCAATAGAGAACACCAGCAGAGCTCGCACCACTTATTCCTCTAGTAATTCCTCGACTCCTTATACATAAATTGGTTTTCATATTGGAATACATGCTAGCACCAACGGCTGCATATCACTCTCAAAACTCGTCCTATTAAGGCACAGGTCTGTAAGCTCTTCTCCATTGACTTCATTGTATCCAACTAAAGTAGCAGGCATGCGGAGTCCCGACAAACAAAGATGATTTTGCAGTAAAGCGATTCCAGTTCTTGATTTGTTGCCGAAACACACACCAACAACAACAAAGATAAAAAGCTCAATTTTTTATTCTACCAGAGAAAATCGATAAATAGTAATGTGCTGATAAAGTTGGTCAGGTCGAAGTGATATCGATGGGAAATGTGTCTGGAAAGGGCCATTCATTAATGGTTGTTTGGACAAAACTGGATACCAAAAATAAAAAAAAATAGACTTAGAGCCGCATGCGTTAACATCCCGGCCGGGAGGGAATCGCAGCTTAGAAAGAAAGCTTCACATCCTAAAGCTCCAGATATCTGAAGTTAACGCGTTTACCTATCCGGAAGTATTCCCACCATCCTTCAATATGAACATATTGAACAGAAGCGAGAAGCTGGACAAGCCGCATATTCCACCTTTTGTATGATGTCCTGATGATCTCCAGCGGCCGACTATCTTTTTCGTAAAGTCATTTCTCTTTCTTTGAAGTTAGCGATAACATTCCAAAGTTGTACCGATTATCTAACCTACAGTGCTATGCATGTTGCTGATAAGAACAAATGATGTTTGTGCTAATCCGATACTTAGATACCTTGTTTAGCAATTATTGTTGATTTCTTTAATTGGAGTTATTCGTTTTTTTTTCTCTGCGAAGTACCGAATAAATATTCGTGTTAGCTACTCCTCTAACTCCAATTGACTATACCTCATCTACGTGTATTTTCCAATACTGCGCGAAATATAGTCGATATTGGGCTTGCTATTTCGTAACATTTATTTCTTGTACCTCATCTACGTGTATTTTCCAATACTGCGCGAAATATTGTCGATTTTGGGTTTGCTATTTCGTAATTCTCATTTATTTCTTGATCGCCGTGAACTCATGCTATGAAAGGGGGCAGCCACGGCCGTCCTCATTTTTTTTTTATCTTCTGCTATTTAGATAAACTGTTTTGTTCAGCTGTCGTGCCCCCTATATATCTGGCCCACGCTGCTACGACGGTAAGCGTGTAACATGGGAGCCGAACCGGGATATCTCCGACGAGCCATTGCTAACAAAGAAAAGCAGAGGGAGGTGAGGGCGCCCCAAGAAATAGGACGTTAGTGATTTAATGTAATAAGCTCTATTTCCAAGACTCCTAGCAAGACTGCCTGAACCTGAGCTCCCGCTGCAGCTTCGGACTATTTGGTCAAATGACGCTCACATGGCAATGCCAGGATTGAAGCACTCACTAACAAGAGCGAAAAGAGTGGATGACATGTTTCAACTAGCCAATGTTGCAAGTATCTCTGAGCAAAAATGTTGCACAGATGAAAGGAAGGACAAGTCAAATAATGAGGATAACATAATCATCTACAACTACGATGACTTCGAGAAGCTTGCCGATAAATTGGTCACCTCGCGAGAACACGAAAGCGATCGTCATCGCATGGCCTGATACTTTAGTGGAAAGCAGACACATGAAACGGCTCCTAATAAGTATCGAGAGGCACGTTAAAGACGGAGGAATGCTCGCCTTCTTTTTAGGCTCCTTTGAAGATCGAAATGCGGAACAGCGGAGAAAAGTCGGCGAAGTATGTCGCGAATTCGTGCGATTTCCCGACCGATCCCTCACGCAACTTTGCTGCGCGCCATACACGCATCCAGCCTGCTGCCTCGGAACGTACCCTAGAACTCATCATGGGCCATCCACAGACCCACAAATATTGACGTTCCTTGGGAAAGGTAGAGTTACCGTGAATGATTTGATCCGTCTACCCTTCGAACCTGCATCCTGCGAATACGAGAGCAGCGAAAAAAGAAGAAACTGAAGGCGCGTCGCCGCATAGAGGAGCATATGCCCAGTTACTGGGTAGTCGCGACCCCACACCACAAGAGACACGAACAGCCCATCACCCTACTTCCACCTGCCCGACGGAAGCACCCCGAAGACAATCAACTACGCTCCAATGGACCATCGTCAAGCCACTCATAAGAACCGCAAAGACATCGCCATGTCCAATTGACTATACCTCTGTACATGTATTTTCCAATAGTGCGCGAAATAGAGTCGATGATTGGCTTGGTACTTCATAATTCTCACTGATTTCTTGATCCCCGTGACCTCATGCTATGAAAGGGGGCAGGCACGGCCGTCCTCAGTTTATTTTATTCTTCTGCTATCTAGATGAAGTGTTTGGTTCCACTGTCGTGTACCACCTATCTGGCCCACGCCACCACGACGGTGCGCGTGTAACATGTTGATGTTAAAATGTGCGATGAACTACAAGTCAAAAGTTGGGGTTTATCGAAAAATTCGATATTTCAAAAACTCATTTGCTCTTATCAGCAGCAGGCTTAACACCTGGGTTAGACGAACAGTAGTACTTTGGAAGGTTTTCGTTAACTTCGAAGAAAGAAAAATGACTTCGAGGAAAAGACGGTCAACCATCGGGGATCAACAGGGGATCACACAAAAAGCTGGAAAATGTGGCTTGTACATTTTCTTGCCCCTAATCGACATGTTCATAGTTAAGGATGGTGAAAATGCCTAAGGATAGTATGGTGTGAAATTCAGATATCTGGAGCTTCAGGATATGAAGCTTTTTCTTGAGCTGCAATCCCCTCGGTGGGGATGTTAATGCATGCGGCTCTTGGAAACGTTTTTTTCACTCCCTTTCAAGCTGGCTATTTTTTACTGACACACCTGATTACAAGCATCTTCAAATCCTCGACAACCGATCACAAACGCTGAGTGGCGTCTGTACTGCTTATCCTGTTTTCCAGCGCTACCATCCAGTTCCGTACCAGTATCAAATCGTAAGCAACTGAAAAAATTGAAGTAACCTATATGCCACTTGATTCAACCTCATACCTTAATGTTGACGTTACGTTGAGATCGATACCGCTTTTGTTCGAAAATATCCTGAAATGAATTAAATTGTAAGATATATAGTATAAATCTGCTTGTATTTGCACCTTTATACTATTAGATTGATGTATAATTCCTGCACCAAAATAGGTACAGACCGCAATAACTCGGAATAATCCTATATCCCAAGTAGGTTTTGATACATCATTAGATAGAGCAAACCTAGCTCTACAAGATAATGCCTAAAGTTTTGCAGCAGCTTTGATCCAAGCGAAAATTGAAGCCAAAAACGAAAAAGATGCAAGCGCTCCAAAAAACCAAGAAAAATTTGGAAGTCAGTTCAGAAAAATCCTTCAAAATTTCTAACTTGCTCATGCATTATTATTGAGTATAAGACATTTCTCTATGCAGTTGCTGTATTTTTCTCTCAGCTAGAAATTGAGAAAACGAAGTTTTTCATGTTTTTTCCAAAACAATGCTGAGATGTTCTAGCACTGACAGTTGTATACTATAGAACCTTAGAAGCGTGAATGTGAATTTTCAGCTTTTCATAGCAGCTGGTTTACGAGAAATATCGAATTTTCGGCAACTAGGCAAGAAAAATTTGGATGAAGAGAGCTAGATTCGTCATTTCTCGTGAACTAGCTGTTCTAAAAGGTTCTAAAAGGCTGAAAATGTAAGGTTTCTCTGCTAATGGCATGTACTATACAACTGTCAGTGCTAGAACATCTCAGCACTAATTTGGCAAAAACATGAAAAACTTCGTTTTCTCATCGTCAAGCTGAGAAAAAATACAGCAACTGCATAGATAAATGTCTTATGTAAAACGTCTACGCGTGAGCAAGAAAGAATTTTTGTAGGAGCTTTTTTAACGGAGTTACAATTTTTTATGATCTTTCTTAAGGTTTTCGGACGCATAATTTTTTCAGTTTTCGGCTCAGAATTTCGCGTAGATCAAAGCTGGTGCAGATATTTGAGCACTACTATCTTGTAGAGCTAGGTTTGCGCTATCTAAAGATATTCGAATTCTATTTGGAATATATTATTTCGGGTTATTGCGGTCTGTACCTACTTTGGTGCAGGAATTATGCATCAACCTAATATATTGCGCAATGAACGCAGGATTTTGATGTGGTTGCCATTGTGGGCAACCGCAGAACACTTAGAGTTCAAAAATAAACAAAAATCTCTCTCTGTTGTTATGATGTTCCTACTTTTTTTTTGTTGGGTGCATTTCGCCCAGAATAGATTGGTGCTGTTAACCTACTATCCTTTGATATGACTCCTACGAAGTACTGTAGTATACACGGTGCCCCAAAAAAATGTATCGAAGGTTTGATCGTTTATATCTTTCTTCTAGAGAAGTCTTTTGCCTTATTTCAGGTACCAATCTGTAGGGCTGGCTCCAACTTAGATTTGCATTATAAAACGAATCACCCATCTCTCTTCATTACTGTAGGATTACGGTAGAAACTTCAAAGTGGGTTTTAAGCAATGAAAGGCCATATTTTGCCTCAGAAAAAAAAACAGCCTGAAAACTTTTACACTAGGTTAGTCAGGCTCCCGCTAGAGTGCCGAAGCCATGCCAGCGCTACGCCAGCGCCGAGCCAGCGTTTCGATCGATACACGTGTATTTCGTTGGGGACATCTACCTGCTGAGAACTAGATCAGCTAGCCCCGCCCCAACGAAATACACGTGTATCGATCGAAACGCTGGCTCGGCGCTGGCGTAGCGCTGGCATGGCTTCGGCACTCTGGTGGGAGCCTTAGAGTTGCTGATTATAACTGTAAAATTCCCAACTTATTATGATGCTTCATTGAAGAGTTATGCCAGGTAAGAGGTAGCGGCCATTTTTTCAATGTTCTTAAAAAGTGCGATTACACCGTTTAGAAAGCTTCGTAATTTTGTGAATAGATAAGTATTGAACTCAGCGTCCATAAAAACCCTATTACACATGTACTCGCATTTTTTTTTTGAAAATTTTGAAAAGGCAGCTTTTTCCACATTGACACCATATGTTTCAAGTTTCTACCGTAATCCTACAGTAATGAAGAAAGATGGGTGATTCGTTTTATAATGCAAACAGCCAGCTCTACAAAACGGTACCTGAAGCAAGGCAAAAGACCTTTTGGGAAGAGAGGTATTAACGATCAAACGTTCGATACATTTTTTGGGCCTGTATATGTACTTGGCGACTGGAAGGCGGGGCTTTGTGACCCAGTTAAAACCGCTCACGGCCGCGATGTAGTCTGCGTCTCTCCCGCGCGCGTGCTCTCTGATCACTACCTAGCCTTAATTAGGTCACTAAGTCCCGCCTTCCAGCCGCCGAGACAGTTGAATCAGAGGGTAGTTGATGGTTTTTTGTGCTAGTGCTCAAAATATGAACGATTTTCATGAGTCAACATTATTTCCCTGCAGTAAGTTTTTCCTCCTCCGTTATTTTCTAACCTAATTTTTTAAAGGTTTTTTTTGCAGTCGCTGCACCAGATTGAAAAGCTTTTCCAAGTGAAGGGGCACTAATGTGATAAATGGGCATCAAACCAACACTCATTGCTTATCCCACAAAAAACCCCCATCAATCACCTACCTCATCATGTGCCTAAATTTCTTTGCTGATTTCGTTTGCAGCGGATCAAAGCAATAAATGTGATTGAAGTCGTCTATTCTATCTTTACGCAACGGTTGAGGATCTCGTGATGTTGATGGCAGGTCAATTAGTTCACCTAAATCAAAGTAAGTAACTAACAAACTCGGTTAAGTTGTACTAACCTGTTACTATTCCACCCTTCTCCGTTTCCAAGTACGATGTGGCAGTGACTTGAAGCTCGTGATTTTCAAGAGTAGCGCCCTGGAATGGATTTTTAATCTCATGATTCGTGCAAAAACGTAATAGCTTCGTAAAATTGACCTTTTTTTCAATTTTTAGAACACGCATCTAAGGAAAATGCAAAAAGAATGTAATGAAGGCCACTAATGTCAACCCCTTTGAGAAGTTTTTTTTGTTATATCACCCACTCTACCGTTCTGGAATTTGAGACCCTTAGGTCTTAGCTTGCGGATCAATAGACCTAAGAAAAAAGTTGCAGATCAAGAGATTCGATCGCTTTGTCTGAATAATCGATTTTCGACCTAAAAAATTGCGCTGCAGTCCAATTCGCATACCTCACCGTCCAGATTCAGATAAAAATTGCTAGACAAATTCATCAGAGTCGATTTATCGGTGTTTGCTGAGAATTGCACGAGAATTTCGTTGTGATTCGTAAGGACATAGGAAACCTGCACATTCGCATTGCCCGGGTAACCTTCTTCCCCTAAAATAAAAAATTTTTGAGCCATCTTGGAAGTCATCGTCCAGCGTGAAATCAAAAATGATATATAAAGTACGAATCTTACCATCGTGTGATCGAACGTTGAACACAACGCCATTGCCTTCTTCAAGAAGTGTATAATTCCAGATTTTCTGAACAGCTTTGGGCATTTTGAGTGCTGGCAAATATTTTAAACTCAACCCAACCTTACTAAGTGGGCTTTTGGCTCCTCCGTTGCGATGATGAGGATGGTCATTTTGCGCAAGAAAGTATTCTCTGCTGTCAAGAGCATAACGTGCATCTCGTATTCTACCAGCTACTCGCCCTATTGTGGAGCCAATTGATAACGGATCAGATTCGTAAGCTGAAACATATGAAATCAACCTTTTTTTGTTAAAACCTCAAACAGCCAAATAATCATAAAAAGATACATGATCATGCCTTGCGGGGTACGGCCGCGGGCATATTTCACGCGATTTCAGTTGCGACGCGATTTGGCAGTTTGCCAGATGTCTACAAATGCAACACATGCAGGCTAAAAATGCACAGTGTGTGCAACTCTCGCAGCTTGATAAAATGCATCTCTTTTGTACATTTAGAATGCGCTCACGATAATTTGTAAACTGCTGGAGTATTGCCAATTCGCGTCAAGACTGAAATTGCGTGAAGTATGCCCGGGGCCTACCGCATCTATTGTACGCAACTTCAGCAGCTAATTTGATTGCAAAATCCTATTAGCTCATCATTTTGAGCATCTGTGGCAAATCAGGAAGACAACTATTTTTTGAATATAATTTCATATTAGTTAGAAAGCTGATCTTCGCCAATTCATGGCCAAGACTCTTTGAAGGAGAAACTATAGTATTATATTGACTTTTCAAAAGTATCTAGCTGTTTCTGCAACCAACCCCTTCGCTTATTTTACAAAGATGTAGGCTCTGCATGAAAAACAAAAATGTTGCGGCGTCAGTCCATCTGTTTTTTACAGATATTTTTGACATAGATATGACTTTTTTTCGCAACTGTCACGACGTGTTGTTTGAAAGAAACTCAAGCTTTCCGAAACCCTGATTATACAGGAAGCTGATATTTTCATGGTTGCAGAAATGAGCGACCTTTGATGCACAAAAGTTTGCAAACGAAAGTTTTTTTGCAGGACTCGTATGTGAGAAATGTATAAGTATATATTATATATATTCTAGTCTTCACACAGCAATTTGTAGTTTGTGGAACCAATTCAAAATATATCAATTACAGAAAACGATATTTAAACTTTAAAAAAACTGATCACTTGGCTCTTAGGAAGTGACCGAATTCGATATCTGAGCATGCAAAAGATATTTTGATTGCTTCCATCTATCAGGATGTTATCGTAATTTTCAGCAACTGATCTTCAGCAACGACTATACACCATAGGATCATTCTGCGTTTTCTACTATTTATTTGAAAACTTTGGAAAAGAAAATGCAGGAGTGGAAAACGAGGTTGTATTGCGACTCAAACATCTTTTTTCAACTTTTTTTTCACTCAAGAAATTATCTCAAAAATCATCTATTCCGTACATATTTTCGACTTTCATATTCATTAGGTCATTTCGAAACTTTCTTTTTTCGTAAAATTCAGTACCTTTCACAGTGTCAAAACCTAGTGCGACATCCGTCATAATACCCTCTCGGTCAGGCACAACAATTGATCTCACTGTTGCTCCAAGATTCAACAACTCCACGCGCATTCCATTTCCTAAAAAAAACTCAAATACTGGACGGTTTATGCATTCAACGAAAGAATTTTCCGTTTCAGAAATTGCTAAAGAGACGGAAGATCAATATCTTGTGATAACATGCGGTTCACACAACACCACTATTCGAGCGAACTTGCTAGGTTGGCCTTTGTGTCTTGTACCATCAAAAAAATGTTGAAAGTATGGAAAATGATTTAATTATATTTTCTTAAAAAGGAAAGATACCAACTTTAGTTGGCAAATGAAGATGAGATGTATGTCATTAGATGCGCCTTCGAATGCCTGATTCCAAATTTGCTTTTCTTTTTTTGCGGAATAAGTTTTCGAAAGAAGTTATTAGAGTTTAAAATGCCCAGATTTGCCAAGCATTGAGTGGCTTAAAATCGCGAAGCAAAAAAAGCGAAAGCTCTAAAACAACACCTATGCAATTCCCACCGGCTTTGTTCCTTCCTTGCAAACAATATACTCAATGATTTCCCACTTTCCGGTGTTTTTGTGCAGCTTTCCGTCAATTTTAGGCCACCTAAACCTTGACAAATTTGGACATTTGAATGCCTACAACTTCTTTCGGAAACTTATTCCGCAGAAAAGGAAAACAGATTTAGAATCAGCGTTCAAAGGTGCGCCTACTGCTATAAATCTCATCTTCAATCGCCTACTAATGTTGGTATCCTTCCCTCGTTAGGTTGGTCCAAGTTCTATCGTTTTTTTTCAAAAATTTGTTACTTTGCGCTGTCACAATGGATTTGCAGCCTGCAATTTTGTCAAAAAAAATATCAGTCTTTCGCTTTCGAATACTTCCTTTTCTAGCTTATTTTTAACACTGACTGCAAAGGTAAAAGGGAAAGGAAGACAATATAAACTTTAATCATTATAAGTTAAGTCATCAAGAATCTTTAACGCTGCAGAAAAATCAGAAAAAGTTGATACAGAAGTTTTTTGACCATTCTTTCCCAACCAAAAAAAGTTTGTATTGTTTCGACGTTTTGTGAGAAGTTAGGATTCTTAAGAAAAGTTGATTAATATTGGCGAATTCTGTAGTAAACTCACAATTCCTAATATCTTACAGAGAGTTCCATACAGCATAAATTTTTCACACTTGCAAAGCGTAGGTCCTAAAACTCATATACTAAATATTTCAGATTATTCTGCAATATTTCAATTTTTGGCGGCCTAAATCAACATGATGGGGCTTGAATGATTTCCTCCAACCAATTTTTTCCTGCGTCAGTGTTCAGGAGGAACTCATTAAGATGGAACTACAAATTAAGGTTTTTTTTTCAAAAAAAAAAATTAAAGTGAAGCAAATCTGTCTCCAAATAGCAAGAAGTTACGATTCCCTTGAATACAAAACGACAGAATTCTGGTACCAACCTAACAGTTTAGCAGCATTCAGTAAATCTCCCTTTTTTCAATGCTTATTAAGTAAGGTACATATAAGGAACAAAACTGAAATATCGGCTGAAAAGCTCAACCATTTCTAACGCAACAAATCGCTCATTGAAAGTAACTCAATTAAAAACAATCGAAAAAATTTACAATTTTTCTTGACCAAAATTTGGAAAACGCTGTTTAGTGTACCAGCTTCTATTTGCGTGTGTGATTTTGTTTGCATCATAGTACTTATACCCTATCTATAATGAAAAATTCGCCAGAAGTGGGAAAGATTACTTCAAAATTATAGTGTGAGAATTTTGGAGCAACCTATTATTGGAGTAATCTTGTAGTAATGAGAAAAAATTCCGTTACAGGAAAACGGTAAAATAAAGAAAAGGGGATGAGGGTGGTGCGCGCACGTGGTATCACAACTACACTGAATCAAGCGTTCCTCACTACAAGTGCAATGTTGACTTATTAAATTATTTCGTACTTCTTTTTTTTTCACCTCATTTAATGTACCAATACCGTTCTAAACTTAATAACTTACAAATATATCATTTATTAAGTCAGAATGAATCCAATATAAAATTGGAAATATGGTTCCGATAAAATCTGCCTTGAACTTTTTTTCACCTCATTTAATGTACCAATACCGTTATAAACTCAATAACTTACAAATTTATCAGTTATTAGGTCAGAATGAATCCAATATGAAATTGGAAATATGGTTCCGATAAAATCTGCCTGGAAGTTTCATCAAGGAAATCTCGCAAACATGAGACAATAGTAGAATAAGCAATGTTTTCTCCTTATTTCCTCGTTTTTGCACTCAATTCATTTTTTTACTATATTCATGCGGGAGCATTCGCCGTCTACACAATTGGAGATATTATGCAGTTACTTACTCTGTCATGTCACAAATGAGATTGAATGTTTACCCAAAGATTTTGAGGGTTGAATACAAAAGACTGAAACCTTTCCATAATTGAATGAATTTACCCCCAGCACAGCATACTCTAATTACTTTTTTTGTACTGTAAAAACTCGCCTCGTGAAACCAACTATATAGAAAGATTTGTGTAAATTCGGACCCTTTTTCGCAGCTAGAACTTCGAATTTTTAGAAAGACAAGAACAAGAAGAAAGGCCAACAAAAATGACTGTGCAATTATATTTCTGCATATTATCAGTTTATCACCTAAAACAAGTAAGTATAGTGTATAATGTTTAGTATGTGTTTGTTTACAAGTATAGTGTTTCAATAAATCCCTTTGTGCTACGTATCCGCTAACAAAGAAGGACCATGAATTCTGAATGATTTGTAGGACCAATTCAAAAAATTTCAACTAAGAGAAGACATTGCTTGTCATTTTCATTGTTTTTTTTTTGCAAACTGTTCCATGCTTTTTTTTCATGCAGGATTTTCTGGAAACTCAAAAGCTTGGTAATTTGTCGACTTTTTCCACCTAACTTATCCACCGTTTGAAACACATCTTGAGATGCGCTTTGATGAGTTTGTGAACACATATTAAGAAAGAGGTCACATATCTTGACAGTGAAAAATAAAGAAATAAAGTAAGAAACGTATAAGATGTGAGGCAACCATCCGACGGCGCACATTTCCTTGACTAAAAAAATAAAAATCGCCATCTTTGCGTGGCGGGTTGTCCGTGCCAGCACCGGACTAGCGCTTGGAGAGCGTTCTCAATCGTTCGACATAATTCGTCCACGTGAACGCTAGCACGGAGCTGGTACTCTAACACGGCTCACACAGGCAGCTTGCGACGCAGCCCAAGTGACCATTACCGAAGTGGTTTACTGTAGAACGCTGCTTGTTTGTTACTAGTTGACCTACCCGGCTCCGCCCGGCCCTGTCATTATTATATACGTAATCAGCATGCTCGATTACCCTCCTGTGCCAACTCCCAGCCCCGTAGCTCAAATTTTGCAAAACATCGATAAAATCGATATCGATCGATGACGAAAAGTAGCCTATGACACCCGCCGGGGCCCGAAGTGTATGTGTGCCAAGTTTGGTCCGGATCGGTTCAGAAATGGAATTTTCTATTCGGAACATACGTACAGACATACAGACAGACATACAGACAGACAGACAGACATACAAACTGACATTCAGCTTTATATACAAGAAGAAGACAAAACTACAGTTGAAAACTCCCCATCCATCTACATAAAACTTGTCTGAAACAGCAATTTTTTATCATCCTGACATACAGGGCGTCCCAAAAAATGTATCGAACGATTGATCTTCAATAACTTCCCTATATGGAAAGCTTACGCGGATCTTTGAGTGTCGTACGGTAGAGCTGGGTTCAACTTAGATATACAGCATAGAGCGAATCATAGATTTCCCTTAACTGTAGAATTACGGTAGGAAGTTTCAACTAATTTCAAGCTTACTACAGGCGAGAACTGCTTCTAAAAAAAAATCCAAAAAAAACGAAAGACGTTAAACTGAGGTTTTGGGGGACGCTGAATCTAATTACGAAGTTTTTCGCTACCGTACTCCTCATCTTCTTACGTTATGCACACTGTAACGCTAGATTTTTCCTTTTTTTCCAAAATCTACTAAATCAACGTTGCAGTTACAAACACGTCGTCAAAAGCCTTCGCGTTAGCCAAACGTTACAGTGCGCATACCGTAGGAAGATGAGAATTACAGTAGCGGAAAACTTCGTAATTAGATTCAGTGTCCCCCAAAACCTCAGTTTAACGTCTTTCGGTTTTTTTTTTGGATTTTTTAGAAGCAGTTCTCGCCAAGTCGTAAGCTTGAAATTAGTTGAAATTTCCTACCGCAAGTCTACAGTAACCAAGAGGAAACTGTGATTCCTCTATACTGTATATTTAAGTTGAACCCAGCTTCAACGTACGACACTCAAAGATCCGCGTAAGCTTTCCATATAGGGACGTTATTAAAGATCAACCGTTCGATACATTTTTTTGGGACACCCTGTATAACACCATATTAGTCATACAGAGAAATTTTCCCAGGTTGTCTAAACCACCAGTCGTACCAATGGAAAAATCCGCTTACCGCAAACGTCAGTTTTGCAATTATTTTATCTTTCCTTGAAAGGGAAGTTTGTGGTAGCAAAGGAGTGCAGGCTATTATTGACTTGATACAAAATTAATGCATATTCCTTCAGCGGTCAGAGATATAATGTTGGAACATATTACTCAATAGAGCAAGGCAAGCTCTACAAAGTGTTCAAATTAGGGAAAAGCGCGATACTTGAGAAAATTTAAAAAAAAGAAACCTAAAAGTTTGCAAATGCTCAACCGGATTTCTGCCCAGAATTTTCTACGAACCTGCAACTTACTCAAAAAAACTTTTTGCCAACTACACATTTGTACACTTGAATTTTTTCGTGGCTAGGATTTGGTAAAAATTGTAATGCTCTAGCAAGAAGTACTGCACTGTTCCGTCTCAATCAGTTCTATACTACGAACATCTAAAAGTAGAACAATAAATTTTCAGCCTTCACAAGCTCTAATTGTGGAGAAAGCGACATTTCCTTATTTCCTTATTTTCGGACTATTATATTAGGTTGGCTAGAAAGTTCTTGCGTAATTCAAACAAAATTCAATAACTTTTCAATGACTAAGCCTAAATTCACAATCTTCTTCTCTAAAAATATTAGAAGGCCTACGCTCCAAGAAGGATGTTTAAGCGCAAGATTTCATGAGCTAGTCTCCGAGAACGAAGCTCTCAAATATGGGACTTCAAAATTTGCAATTTTGAGTTTGGTGCCAGAAAATCGCAGAGTATCGCTAGCTAGCCGAAAAAAATCTGTAAAAATTACTTACACTGCAAAAGCCCATACGTTATTTCAGCAGGCTTCAAACTCGCATGGGAATGCGAAAACAAAATTTGTGGAATTTGTCATTTTACAGGATAAATCCCCTCATCGATGTAATTTTTCCACAAAAACACAGTTTGCAACCAGAAATAAGACATATTGCCTATTTAGAACTTTGCGACGTTTTTTGGAGTGTAAAAAATAGTTTTTTGCAAAATGCTGTAATGAGTGGATTTTTTCCGCAAAATGACTATTTCACGAATTTTTTGTTTTTGCTTCACCGTGCAAGATCAAAGCCTTCCAAAGTAACTTATGGACTTCTGCAGTGTAAGTAATTTTTACAGATTTTTTTCGGCTAGCTAGCGGCACTCTGCGATTTTCTGGCTCCAAACTCAAAATTGCAAATTTTGAAGTCCCATATTTGAGAGCTTCGTTCTCGGGGACTAGCTCATGAAGTCTTAAACTTAAACATCCGTCTTGGAGCGCAGGCTTCTAATATTTTTAGAGAACAAGACTGTGAATTTAGGTTTAGTCATTGAAAAGTTATTGAATTCTGTTTGAATTACGCAAGAACTTTCTAGCCAACCTAATAGTTTTTCGATTGTCAGCCACGAAAAAAAAAACGGAAAATGCACATATGAATTTTTGGTGAGTTGAAGGCTCGCAGAATTATCCAGACAGCGTTCTGATTTTTGGGTAGTAAAATTTATGGAATTTTTTCCCGAAAATGTTGAACGAATCTTTAGCGATTGTTCAAATGACATCTTGTAAAGTTTACTTTCTTTATCAAATGATACGTTTACTACACTGCTTTATCTACCCTACCATACAGTAGCCTAAATGTTGACTTCAAAATTGGTGCGAATCCAAAGCCTCGGGTTCAAATTTGATGCTATAAATCGAGATGACTTATCGCTTCGCTTGAAAGATCAAAAAATCATTGTTGAGAGGCGTAGTGATCGATATATTGATAGGTGATGATTTTATACATTTCTATATATTCTCTGCAGCAGCAGGATAAGGAGCATGCATTGAGTTTGCATCATCCTAATAGAATAGTCAAGTCATTGATTCAAAGATCGGGTTGATCCAAAGGTTCGCATCAAAAATTCCTTGGAAATAGTAATTCACTTAATGGCACCGTTCACCCAAATTCTCGACTTCCAGGTTTCAGGGCCTCCTTGTCCCTGATTCCGAATATGAAGTCGAAAGCCTCGGCAATCCCGTTCCGCAGAACCCACAAGCCGGCTTTCCGGAACGGTGAGTGGATAGGAGCGCACAAATGGGCGGGCATGGATGGGAAGGGGCGGGCATGGATGGGGGTCCTCGTGCATCTTCGCTATTTCGAAGCGATTTTCTCGCTTCCGAAGCGACATTTTGCGCCGGGACTTGGACATTGGCTTGATAGAAGGCCCTACTAGCATGTGTTGCCAAAAGCTCAAAACCCAATTTAGGGTGGACGGTGCCTTTAAGACGGTGTTATTAGTTTCAATATAGCTTAAAGGAAAAATGCACTTTTTGAATGTGTCTTTACCAAAATCTATACTTCCGTATCATGATGATAATTACAAATAACAAAGTCGCATTGGGCAGTTTTCAAGCGGAAAAAATATAATTCAATTATTAGCTATGATTTAAAGTCCCGAAACATGTATCTGAAAGTTATGGTTTTGAAGGTTTCAATCTATTGACATTTTAGCTTCTCCGCAAAAATTTCATGATAAATTTCAGCATATACTGCAAAGTTTCAAAATCAGTTCTAAAGCGAATTTTCATATTTGTTGGTAAGCCTTATGAATACACATATCTGAATACATCGTCGTAAGTAATCTTCTTTGACAAACTCTTCTCTTTTTTTTTGTATTCGAGACCTATGAATCTGCATATTATTATCTCAAAGAAGTTCAGTTCAGATTTCTCATATCTTCCTTTCTCTAAGAAATTCAAAAATCAAATTGAGTGGAAATCTACCAAGATATGGAAGCGATTAAAAGAGGAGCATGTACGTTGTTCAGACGACCCAAACTCCAGGCATAACGAGCGAAAAATCACATGGATAATCAATTTTTGAAAAATTGTGAAATAACAAAAACGCTCTATAAATTTAAGGACTGACCATTGGTGATTCGTATCAGGACTATTCGTCGTTCATCACGAGTTTCTCCAAACGACTCTATTGTCACTGACCTCATTCAGAAAGAGTCTGAAAAAATACTTGAATGAATAAAGGAATGAAAATTGACTATATGATACAAACGATTAACGCATACAATGGCTGAGAAGAGAAATAAATTTGTGGACTTTTGTAGCTACACCCAACCCTTTTACCTTCTTTGAAAAATTTATATATATATATATCTTTCCAGACTTTCTGAGACTCTTTTTAGCTCTTGAGAATCTGCATTCAATTTTTTATGGATTACATAAATGCGTTTTTGAATTTATAAACTGAGATTCAAAACAAAACCTTACAAGCCCAAAAATTTTTATTTCGTAGATAAAAGCAAATTAAATTCTAATCTAGAGTATTGAAAATAAAATTGCACAAGCTTGAAATTCGCACTTTCGAGTGCTTTTTTGCACTTTTGAGAGGTAGGATTTGTGGATGGAGAAGATTGCGTATTCCCAGCAATATAGGAACAGATTTGCATGCAAAAACAAAGCAATTCTAAGATAAAGCGTTCCATTTTTGAAAGAATAGTGTATAGTATCAAGCCCTATGCCCTTACGCTTCTGTTTGAGAATGCCTACATCTCCCATGTGGTACGAGTTTATACATCAAAACAAGCGCAAACTATAACTTCTTTCGCAAAGTTCGTCAAACTTCGGAAAACTATTTAAACCACAAGGGATAGAAAGTGTAAATAAAGAATCCAAGAAGAATTCAAGTGAAGAGTTCTGAAGAGATACTAGTAGAGAGATAAGGGAGCGGTGGACCTAATGGGCCAAGCGCGATGCCCGCAGGTTATGACACTATCCAAGAGATCTGTGAATATTTTTCTCCTTTGGATGATATTGATAGATGTCTCATTTTGGAATACATTGTTTTAGTTGAGAGTAATTAGTTTTTCTTGGTATAAAATTCTTTTCAAACTAACAAAAAGAAGCAATTATTCCTCATGAATGATTCCTGATTTCCATGGATTTTGGTCGTAACGCGACTGAGTTCCTAGCTAAAGAGCGAAATGTCCAAAGGGAATTTGAAAAAAAAAAGAATTACTAAGTGAATCTTGTAATTTTGAATTAGATGCACTGGTAACTCTATCACTTAGCTACCTGTACTTGTAATGGGATACAAATTTGGACAAAAAGAAGCTCTTGAAGCTAGAGTTTTTGGTGTAAAAATCTTTGCATAGTGTTCAAAGAGAGCCGCGTTTTGATGATCGCATGCCTTCAAACACTTAAAATCCTATAAGTTCCAAATGAGGCATTTCGCACATATGGAAGCAATCTAGAGGTTTTTATGATTTGAGGCTTGAATACTTCCCGGTTAGCAAACTTCATGAAATGTCTGGACAGGTAAAGTTCTAGAAGGGCAAGTTAGCCGAATTGTAATGTGATTAGCATGTTTTGTGGACATGAGCATAGGGCAGAATAGAAATGAGAGTCAAACTTATTGTTTGGCAAAGGAATGAGCCTTTCATAAGGCAGAATAAAATAAAGTTATGAGTGTAGAAGTTGATGACATCTGTAGATTAGATCCAAATTTGTTATGTTATAAGATAAGAAAGTGTTAGTTTATAACACCATATTTTTCCTCTTTTCCGCTTAATAATTCCTCACAGTTAAGATGTTTTGCAAAATCTCTTCCACTTTCTCTTTTTCCTCCATCCTGTCCTCATAGTGTTTTCTTCTATGTCTCATTTGGATATTCGTTGTTTGTAATTTGGCTTTGGAAACTTTGAAAGCTTTCACATTACTTTGGGTCCATTCATCAGGTTTAAAGTTGGTCAACAAACATTCAATTGTTTTTCTTGTATGTTCCTATGGCTCCCCAAGACACTGTGATCAGCATTCAGCTAATTTTGTGCTTTGTGTCTAAGAGATGGGTAGTTCATAGAGGACTGATTCAGCCTTATGGTATCATCAATAGGTGAATAACGATGAGAAATAGTAATTTTTACACGTTACGCAAGAAAATTGTAAGAAAGTAGTTAGCAATTTTGACCTGAGTTTGATGAGAGCAGTTCAAATATTCACTATATTTTCACGTAAACACCATTGAAATTTGGAAACATATTGCTGCAAGTTCCAAAATAAGACGAATATGTTGTAATACATAATTCAAAAAAAACTATTGTTTTGTTTTTAGAGGTGCGGAAATTTTCCTTTTCTAGAAGAGTCACTTTCATAGCTAAGACAGGACAAAGACGCTAAAATCGTATCAAGCTGGGAATCGCGAATGAAATGCACAAGCTTGAATATTTCGTTCAATTTAAAATGCTTCTTTGCAATTTTGAGAGGAGAGATTCGTGGGTGGAAAAGATTGCATATTCTCAGCAATATAGGAACAAATTTGCATGCAAAAACAAAGCAATCTCAAGATAGAACATTCCTTCTTCGAAAGAATAGCGAGTAATATCGAGCTTCTATGCCCTTACTTAGAGCTTTTTTTAAATGGAAATAGTCACAAACTTTATTCCAGATTGACTAAATACCATAATTATTGCACCTCTTTCTTTTCAGGGATCAGCATCGGAGGATAAAGGAAGGAAAAAATAATAAGAAATTATGATATAACAGGTTCCAGAATTATAACGCTTACATCTCCCATGTGATACGAATTTATTCATCAGAACAAGCATAAACTATAACCCTATCAGCTAAGCTCGTCAAATTTCAGAAAACTATTGAAATCATATGGGATAGATATGAGAGCATCTTTGTTGCAAACAATGAGTTCAAGTAAAGAATCTTGAAGAAATATCGTGGAGAAGGAAGAATGAGGAAGTGAAAAGTCTTTATTTAGGCCAAGTGTGATGCCCCTGGGATACGTTTACAACCCAAAAATCGTGAAAGAATATTTCTGCAATCGATGAGAGGTTCTGATGGATATCTCAATAAGCATTTAAGAGATTTTCTCTTAATTACTGCTCTCGTATAATTTCATGCCTTCTTCCTTGCAAACAATCTTGCACACGACGCAACTTTCTCAAAAATTATATTCTTCGACTCACAAGGAAGGGAAAGGTAATCGAAGTAGCCTTTCATATGAGATGGATGCTATCTTAAAGGGTATGAAACGCTGATTCCAAATCTACCTTCCTTATCTGCTGCACGTTCTAGGGTGAAGAGTTACGAAGGTTCATATGAGCAAAAATTTGCAGGTGCAGCTACGATAAAATCACTTGTAAAATTTTTTCAAGGCTGGAATGATTTTCGGGTTACTCTTTGCGATGATTATTCTTAAATCAAACATATATACGCAATTCTGCGACTTCGCAACAGTCAGCGAAAGATTTTACACTGATTATGCATTGAATTTTTTACTTATAAAAACCTTTAAAACTCCTTGTTCAGAAACCCGCAGCAGATAGTAAAGCTATACTTGGAATCAGGGTTTCGTCTCTAAGTCAATGTGCATCTCTTACAGAAAGGCCAATTCGACTAGCCTTTCTTCTCTTGTCAGTTGAATGTCGAAGCAATGCCTAATGTTTGGTCGATTTTGTTGTAAGTTGAATTTTTACTCATTACATGATGAGATTAACGCCAACTATCATCTTTTTCAGACTCGGAAGTGCTGACGTCTTTGGGATACAGATTAGAGAGTAGATGACTTGATGGAGCGAATACTCAAAGTAATATATCCATCGAAATAAAGGGGAATGTGTCCCAGTACAAATATGAGATTTTAATTCCTGTGCATGCGCTTGTTGTGGATTTTGAGTGCTAAAGCTCCAATGTAATGGCTAGGTGGAAGCATCAAAACTCACAGAAAGAATCATAACTTTTACGCGGAACATTTCGCACATATGGAAGCAATCTAAGCGCTTTAGATTTAAAACTTGAATGTTTTTTGGTAGACAAAGTCTAGGAAAAGTCTGCACGGCCTTGAGCTTCTGGAAGGCAAATTAACCGAATGGTAGTGTGATTAAGATGTTCTGTGGACAATGAGCATAGGGTAGAATAGCAATGATGAACAAAGATACGTAGTTTCTTGAAAAGAGTTTGAAAAACTTTAAGTGAGCTATTATTGTCTTCCTTCTCTCCACCATTCTTGTCGAAAGTATAAGAAGATGAATAAAATAAGGTGCAAGTTCAAAATTCCATGACTAAGACAAGCTCAAAGATCGAAAATTCAAGCACAAGCTCCATCGTTTTCCTGCCCAAAAAGAATTTTTCTTTTTTTCAACTACTTCATAGCAAATTTCTTTCAGTTTTCTTTACACTCACCCTTCTCCTCCATTTCCTCCTCTTCTCTAGGCTGTTTTTGTTATCTCACATGGGTATTCAGTGTTTCTTTCCTGTTTGTTTTCTATGCTTTTTCAGAAGGGCTTGCTACGACATCAAAGGCACATTATTTTAAGTCCATTTATCAGATTTTAAGTTGGTCAACAACATTCAGCAGTTTTTCTTGTATCTTATGGCTCCCACGATACTTGCTCAAACTTCATAGTTAAAGTTTAGACTTTGAGAAGGTCTACAAGCTAACTTATTTGACAGGATAAATTAGCCTAGAAAATTGATATGCGAAAATTAGAACTTCGTAATAGACATTCTGGGTTCTTCTCATGCAAATTCAACTCATTTTTGCTGGAATTTTCTCTGATTTTATAAATCAGAAAAAATCTCAGCAAATTTGATCAGAGAAAGAGAAGAACCAAATAATACCGAATGTATAGTCGAAATTTTTTGATTTTTTAAGCATTGTTTATGTCAAAACTCGCCACTAATCGAAGTTCAGAAACCTCCGTTAGAAAAATTGCTCGTTTTGCGACGTTTTTGTCAGGATAATCTTGTAACGACGAATTAAAAAAAACCTATTTCAAATTTTTTAATACAATGATATACTCGTTATCTCAGAACTTACTACAAAAAAGTTGTAACATTCACGAACGTCACGACAGAAAAATGTGAATCCGTGTTTTCCTCAAGTTCCGAGTTGCGTTGTATGTAGGTATTTGGATAGTTTAGAATATAAACAAAAAATTACATATTCCTCCATCTAATACCTGATTATTCAAAAATAAGGGACTATTATA